CTTACCTTGTTCCCGGAGACCCGGTCCCTCTCGGGAGGGTAACAAGGGAAAGTGCTCAGTGCAGATCAGTGAGTAAGCACAAGCCCGCCTGTGCTTACCTCGCTCCTGGGGACTAAGCACAAGCCCACCCGTGCTTACCTAGCTTCCGGAGACCCGGTCCCTCTCGGGAGGGTAACAAGGGAAAGTATTCAGTGCAGATCAGTGAGTAAGCACAAGCCCGCCTTGTTTCAGTACAATTTAGGTTCAGGAACACACTACGGATATAATTCTTCTACCACGAGTCTCCCCTCTGCTGTGCCTTCAGACACAACTCTCTGGCCCTTGGCCTCTTGGCCTGGCCTTTACCCTGCTTGGGCAAGTGTTACAAAGCTCTTTTAGATCTTCCAATTGGTACACCGAGGTGCACCCCACTCTTATGTCTGCAAGCCTCCTGCCCAAGGTTACTCAGCTCTCTCGCTCTGTGGGCCAGGTAAGCCTGCCACGCGGTCTTGTGCCTTTGGGTTCTACCGCAACAGTCTCTCTGCCAGGCATCTCTCGCTGCTGGGGCATCTCTGCCAAGGAGGTCCAGTGCAGGGATCTCAGGTCCAAGGACACACTCTACTCCACTTCCAGCTCTCCTCTCTTGATTGCAGTGAGATCCCCTTTCTGCCTCTAAGAGGGCTCATTTTAAGCCTGGCAGAGTGACAAAATTAACCAATCCTAACATCAGAGTTCTACATACCTTATTTGCATGGTCCCACCCACTAATCTGATAGGAGTTACAAAGACTATGGCCAGAAAAGCTATACCATGTAACTTATTGCACCGCAACCTATTCCAGGGATTTGTAGGAGTCCTTGGAGTCTAAGGGGGGCAACTGGATGCCAGCCTGGCAAGCATAGTGATTTAGTGTGGAACTACTGCAATCTGTTACTAATGAACTTGACAAGCATATTAAACAAACAAGGTCCAAAGAGTCAAAGCAACACAGTTGCTACAGCAAGGCCCAGAAGAGGTAAAAACCACGTCAAAGAGGGAAGACAGCTCTTGATTTGAGCCCAAATGTCCTTTAATTCTTGTGTCCCTAAGTTATTTGGCTCATTGTAACAAGCTTTGCACTCTTAACCCCACTTCTCCAGATGTATTCAGACACATAACATGAGGTGTTGGCAACTGCACAAACCCCGCCTTGTTCAGCTAAAATACAATCTGACGCTAAGTGGTGGTCTTAGGACCATGTTAGCTAATGAACCTAAAGACGTCTGCAGAGCTGTTGATCAATCCTTGTCCAGCATCTTCTGCATTTTTCTCTGTAACACTGGACGTATTCTTAACAGTATATGTATCCTTGCCCTGTGAGGGTAGAGTTCTTATAGCGGCAGCAAGTCTATACATATGTGGATGGAGGTGTTACCCACCCTATGGTGCAGATGCCCTGCAGAGCTGACCGCTCTAGACAATTCAGGGCCTAGTATCAGTTTCACATTCACACAAGCAAATCAGGTGCCTTCTGGGGCACAAATAACAGAAGAGTTTCCTTTCTCTGCCTAAGAACGGAGGTGGTCAGAGAGTGAGCATGGGGTGATGCCCCTCCCTGTCCCTAGGGACCTCCAGGAGGCAGTTGCCCACTTGACCACCTTCTGTAGTGACTGGGTTCCATCATGGGTGCTGTCTATATGATCAGCCCACATATATTTGATATAATGGTCTACTGTCCAGACCCCATTATCTCTGCAGGTTTTAACTCCTTAGGTACCACTGAAACACTGGTAAGCAAATGCTTGAGCAGAGTAGGAGCGACAGGTGAAGACCCGAGCAGGGTGGCAAGTTTTTGTCCATTTGTTCTGTTGCCAAGAGAAGATGCAGGAAGAAGCGTTGTACGTAGGGAACCCATTCCTTGTACCTGTGGGCCCACTATCCTTTTCCCAGACTAGGATTTGGAAGGGTTGGAGCTGGGGATAAACAATGGTGTATGATTTATAAAAGGATTGAAATAAAGCAGGTAATGTGAAGTGTCATTCAAAATTGGTGAAAAGCTAGGCCACTGAACCCTGATGGAAGCAGTTTTCTTCTCAGGTCCTCCCTCTTCGGGACTTCTCAAGTCAGTAACATTATTTATGGAAGTAAAGGTGTATTTTCTCCCTGGAATACTCATGGGCTTCTCATGACATATCCAACAATCACTCAAGTTTTGTCCCGAAGCAACGTGTTGGGGTACCTGGACTAAAAAGTTAAAATTTCCAGTAGTAAGGGCCAACAAGGCTAGGGTTGTCCACCAAATTACTATCTTTGCACACTCTTATATCCAGCAAGGGCAAAACAGATGCTTCCCAAATGGAGGAATTAGCTCACGAAGACACATCCGAAGTATAAAGATTAGGAAAAAGAGGAAGAGGATAATACACAACCTAGTAGCCCAGAAAGGAAACGTGAGTTAAGTCAGAGGAAGTTCAACTTGAATACTTATCTTTCCTTAGTTTCTTCCTAAAGAGGTGCTTGAAGTCCTCTACCAGCTGACAGAAATAGTGGTCTGATTGTTGCTCCTTGTCTGCAGATGATCCTAAAAGAGTGAATCTAAGAAACCAACCTTACCACCTTTACAGCTGACGTTGTTGTTGTTGTTGTTATGTGCCGTCAACTCGGACCCAACTCAAAGCGACCCCTCCTTGGGTTTCTGAGGCAGTTATCACTACAGAAGTCGATTGCCCAACCTTCCTTCCAAGGAGTGGCTGGTGGGTTTGAACTGCCAGCCTTCTGGTTAGCAGTCAAGTCTTTGGCACTACGCTACCAGAGCTCCTTTACAGCTGACAAGGTAGCCAGAATGACCTGGTAAGGGCCTTTTCACTTCACCTGTAATTGATTGACTTTTGGGTCCATTTTCTAGCGTCTTTACCAGTACCCATTCTCCTGGGGAACTGGAGAGGGGAGTTACCTTTTCCCCATAGTGTCTGAGGATTTGTTGAAATTTTCCTAAGTCTGTAATATATCTGAGGGTTGCATGGGTTTCAGGATCCAGTAACAGGTCCGAAATAAAAAATGGCTGCCCATAAATCATTTCAAAGAGGCTCAATTTAGCCTGTCCCCGAGGAACAGTTCTTATTCTTAATAAAGCAATTGGTAGCACAGTGAACCACTTAGTTTGAGTCTCTTGATAGCTTTGCTATAGCCCTTTTTAAAGTCTGATTCATTCTTTCTCCTTTCTCTGAAGACTGGGGGTGCCAAGAAGAATGAAACCTATACTGTATTCCCAGAGCTTCCGATAGCTTTTGGGTAAGTGCTGCAGCGAAAGACGGGCCGCTGTCTCTTTAAAGAGTTTTGGGTAGACCAAATCTGGAGATTATTTTCTCTAGAAGGGCCTTACACCTCCGTACCTCTCTCAGTTCTTGTGGGGAAGCCCTCCATCCATCCAGTAAAAGTGTCTACTAATACTAACCCAGGCGCTCTGGTAGCATAGTGCCTAAGGCACTTGACTGCTAACCAGAAGGCTGGCGGTTCAAACCCACCAGCCACTCCTC